GCTGGTAGCATTTCAGGGAAGAAATCTGCTCCGTTTGTTCAGGCTGGCTTTTGAAGAGAGGTCACGCGATTAGATAAGCCAGCCAATATCTGGCTGGGGGGGATTTGGGATTTGCTGATGCCTGAACAGGCTGTGCTGATGACTTGCTTTTATCATCCTAAGCAATCAGATCCGGCATATGAAACCTTTCGGCCATCCTTAATAGAAAGGGAATTGATGCTGGGACTACTTGGTAGTACCTGTCAAAGCAGAATTGTGTGACAGCAGCTTTTTTTGTGATGGTTAGCATGAGCCGTGACACCCACTGTAGGCAGGGCAGGAGTTCGCTCTGGGAAAGATGAGGTTGGAGACAGCATCATCTCTCCCAGAAATACCAGCATCCTGAGCTGGCTCAGATGGCAAGGAAATGTTTGTAGATGGAGGTTCCATCTTCTCTTTCCTTTGTAAGACTGGTTCAGTCCCGGCAGCCTGCAGCACCGCCAGCAGCCGGGTTATGGACCAAGCTATGGACCGAGCCCAGCTGCCACATGGGCTTAACCTGGCTCACTGAGCTTAAATGCCAAAGCCAGAGCAGTTTACTCCCTTTCCGGGTTCAGCAGGGCACATTCCTCCCCAGGAAGGGGAGAGGCTGTCCTGCATTTTGTGCCTGGTTCACTTCGGCAATTGCTTTCCCCAGGTTTCATCACGCTCACCTATAAATAACTCCTAAAAACACCTCTGCAGGTGATAATTAATTGGAGAGCTGTGTGGCTGCTCCAGCTAAAAGTATCTGGCTTGCTAGTGGTGGCTCCCTGCCATCCTCGAGGCAGTGCTGGGGACGAGAGCCGGCCATCACACAGCATGTCACGGGATGGGACATCTCCGGTGCCAAGCCCCAGGCTGCGGGGTAGAGCTCATCCACTGAGAAGCTGCAGGGAGCAGAGCCTGCTTTGGGATAGCTCTGGAGAATGATGCGGAGCTGGGGCATGTCCTGGGGGAATCTCAACCGCTTCCTGCAGGGACTGTGGGGGGCTACATGGTGCCTCCTGTATCAGCGTTACCCCTGCGCTGCTCCCCAGGTTTTCAGGGAGGAAGGCAGGGCTCTGGACCATCGCAGTCATCACATCTGCAGCCCCAAAGCAGCCTTGTTTGTGGATGCATGTGGGTTTGGGATTTTTTTGGTTGGTGTTTTTTTTTTTTTTTTGAATGAGGCTGGTACTGCTCCTGGCAGGTCAGCATCCCTTGTCCGCACTCCTCAGGGAAGTGGGCATGCACACCGTATTTGCTCATCTCGATCTTTCAGTGCTTTCTCCCAGTGGGAAACAAGGCTGAAAGGGGGTTTGGGAGCTCCTCTGAAACCCCCCAAACTGGGATCATGGCTGGCTGCCAGCAGCAGTAAGTATTTACTTTTTACAAAGCCACCCAAAAATAGATCTTTAAAAAAATCAAGTTAAGTAATTGCAGGTCTGAGCATGAGCATCCGAGTGGGAGTGCGCAGGGCGAGGCAGCACCGGGGACGCATCTGCAGGTGTCTGGCCCTGGGAGCCCTGCGCAGGGGAGGAGGAGGGAGTGCTCATTTGCAGGTCGCTGCTGTTTCTTGCTCTGCTCCTGAATAACGAGCATATTTAACTTCTCAGTGTGTCTTGCAAGGGGGCGAGTTCACCTCTGAGCGCTCTGTCACTGTGGGCCAGGGGTCTTCTTGGACCCATGCACCAGGGAGGTGGAGGAGCCCGAGCGACACCCAGAGCTTCTGTGGCAGGGGGAAAAAACC